ACGTGGACAGAAAGGCAAATTTACGAGATAGAGTATATCTAGTAGTGCGAGGGTTCCTCAGAGACTTAGGATTGATTATGAAGAAACATACTCACTTGTAATGGGTGCAATTACATTTCGGTATTTTACTAGTATGACAGTCTGAGAAGGACACGACCTATGTCTTACGGATGTTGTTACTTCATATTTGTTTGGAAAGTTAGATACTAATATTTATATGAAAGTCCTTGAAGGATTACAATTTCCTGAAGCAAACACATCAAAATTACAAAACATATACTCAATTAAGCTGAGATAATCCTTATATAGATTGAAATAATATGAAAGAATAAGGTATAATCATCTCAGTGAGTACTAAGTAACAGAAGAGTATGTTAACAATCTCATATGCCAAAGTTTATTTATTAAGAAATTAGAATCTGAATTTTCATCATTGCAGTAAATGTTGATGATACGAATCTAATTAGAACTTCTGAAGAGTTAATAAAAGCATCTTAATATTTAAGAAAAGAATTTGAGATGAAAGATCTCGGGAAAATAAAGTATTGTCTCAGACTATAGATTGAGTATACGTTAAATGGAATCTTTATCCATCAAACAGCTTACATCGAAAAGGTCCTAAATCGATTTAACATGGATAAAGCAATCTGTTGAGTACTCCAATGGCCATCCAATCCCTAAATGTAAATAAGGATCCCTCTCATCCTAGAGAGGATAATAAAATGCTTCTTGGTCCTGAAGTACTATACTGAGTTGCAATATGTGCTTTGTTATAATTGGCACAATGTATTAGATCTAATATAGCATTTGCAGTCAACTTGTTGGTAAGATTTAGTTTTGTACCAACTCGATGACATTAGAATGACAAAAAACATGTCCTACGATACCTCTGAGAAACTACAGATTTGGGCTTGTTATACTCAAAGCAATCAGTCAATGGTCCACATTTAGTCGGATATGTAGATTCTAGATACCTATCAGATCCCCACAAAATTTGTTTACAAATTGGGTATGTTTTTACATGTGATGATGTAACGATCTCATGGCGATCTACCAAATAAACTTTGATTGCTACTTCATCCCATCATTCTAAGATATTTGCACTGCACAAAGCGAGCCGCGAATGTGTGTGGCTAAGGTCTTAGTCCATCACATCTGAAATACTTGTAGACTCCCTTTGATTACAGATTCTCCAACAATTTTATTTGAAAATAATAATACTTGCGTTGCACAAATGAAAGGAGGGTTTATCAAAAGTGATTAAACTAAACATATTTCGTTAAAGTTCTTCTACATTCATGAACTCTAGCAGAGTTCATGGTATTGAAGTAAAGCAGATACGATCTAGTGACAATCTTGCATATTTATTCACTAAAGTTTTGCCATCATCAATGTTCAAGAAATTGATATAAGGCATTGGAATGCGTCGGGTTTGTGGCCAATCTATTTGATTTCTTATCACGGGAGAATTTCATCACGGAGAGCATCCACATCAAGATACAAGACAATATGCATGTTGCACTATTTTTATTTCGTCTAGGTTTTTGTCCCATTGGGTTTCCCTAACAAGGTTTTAATGAGACAGTCTTAGTGCAATACTATTCTAAAATTCATCTAAATATATACTCTTTTTCCTTCATTAGATTTTTTCCACAGGATTTTCCTAGCATTGTTTAACAGGGCATATTATCTTAATATAGTGGTCATCCAAGAGGAACGTTGTAAATATTATATATACATTGTATAAAAAGTGAATGACCCTTAATCTTCCAAAGTAAATAGGAATTAGTGGGTGTTAGTACATTAGTTTATAACATCTTACCCATTGATATACCACCTTTAATATTGTATTTAATAGTCATTATGTTTGGAGGCCTGTAAAATGAGGTCTTGGGTACATTGGGAAATACAAGTTGAGAAGCTCTTTATCTAGAATTTCTCTATTCTTTTGTCTCTTTACAATTCTATTCCCTATATTCTCTGAGTTTTACAACATATGTATATCTCTTTTTTTTTTTTGTTCATCGGTCAAGAGTGTCTGGGCCAGCTTACGTGAACCCTCCCCGATCCAGTCAAATGCAAGGTCACCCACGCAGGGACTACGATATTCATGAGTGACAAATCCCTCATGACTTGGCCCCAAGAAATTACCAAAATTCAAACTTAAGACGTCTAAACTTATAAATATATAATAAGTATGTGGTCTAAGGTTTTTTCAATTGGGTCGACAGATGTCGGCCCATTTGATCGGTCAAGCGTGATCAGCCTAACTCTAGACATGCTTGGGCCTGAGAGATCTAGGACAAACTGGCCCGTTGCCTTAACTAAGATATAGAGCAGTCAACAGATTGGATTTAGATTGAATCTTGATCTATCAAAATTTGAATCCAATAAAAAATTTTGAATTTTAAATTTGATCTATTTACCAGAATTTCAAAATCTTAATCAATATTCGCATCCGTTAATAATTAGATACCTAATCCAATCTAAAAATTTGAATCCCAATAAAATTTCATAAAAAATTAATTAGTTAACTTTCAACTTAATTTAATCAAACAATCATTCTACTCAATATTTAATATTTAATTACATGTTAATCTCATTAATAATAGAACTAAATATGTATATATACACAATAATCTCTCAATTAAATATGTATGTATATATATCCCGGATCGAATTTTCATGTATTCAAATTCAAATCCGTTTAAAGAAATTTAATTGGATCCGGATAAATAAATGAAGCTATTAATATATATCTGATTAAATGGACTCAAAATTAGATTAAAATCCACTTCATTGACTTGCCTACCAAGATTTTGCAATGACTGCAAATAGCATAGCTGAAGTGAAAACAATTACGTCCAGTTCTAAATTGGGTAAATGACTTTTAGTTATTTTCAAACATAATAGAAACGTCGAATGGCTGACATGTCATGCTTAACATGAAATAGATTGTGAATGCTTTTTGGTGGAAAGAAATCCCCTCTTCCATCTTACAGATCTAAATTAAAAAGAGTTTCAAAAAAACAATAGTATTTGGACCTAAAATGCTTACCTAATTTATGATTTAACCCATCACAGTCATTGAATAGATAGTGGATCTCAACCAATACTGGATCCACTGTCAATTCAATGATTTTGATAAAGTAACTCAACAAATCAACATTTTTGGTTCAATCAGCATTGCTCATTTTAAAATAGTCACATAATATCTTGTCTGCTTGTGCTCCCTCTCTCTTTAGGGTTTTTTTTTTTTTTTTGCACCAAGTATTAAGTAACAAAACTATAGGAAGGACCACATGCTATATTTGATTGAGCAATACTTCTTAGACTTAAAATATTGAATTGATTTGTTGACTTGATTAATTACAACCATTGAATAGGTAATGGGTCATAATAAATACTACAACTCATAGTTAAATCAATGACAATGATTAATCAAGTCAACAAATTAAGTCAATATTTTAAGAATAAGTAACATTTTTCTATTTGATGTTTAACACTTTCCCCTACTTTTTTCCCTCTAGCTAAACTTCGACCAGCACTACACATAGGGCTGAGCAAGCAATCTCTATCATGGGACAACCATCAAGTTTGAGATTGCAGTGGAATGTTGATTCACATTTTGCAAATAAATGGTGAGTAGACCTTGATGATACACAAATTGATTTTATGCACCGCCTGTTGAGTGATTAATGATTAATGCAATAAATAAGAAGGAAGAAAGTAATTCAAGCAAGACAAAGATGTAGAGTGATTTGGTCAACGTGACCTACTCCACCATGAAGGGCTAGGACGACCTGATGTTTTATTACTTCGAGGTATGAAGGTATGCGAGGGAAAGCAATGGAGATACAAGCTATAAGAGAGATATGAGAGTGATTGTGCTCAATGCCCCCCAAGTTTTGGCCGACTTACAATTTACAGTGCCTCGTAACAGACTAATGCGCCTTTTCCGTAACTAAATGGCTAATTTGGTGGAGCTAGCTCTATCTTCTCAACAGATGAGACAGTTACGGAGCTTTCCTTAACATCGGGTCAAAGATGACATGGTGGTTGACTTTTTTCAAGGGCACATGGATGAGGCTCTTGGGATGGCCCTGCCTACTCCCTTGGTGATGTAGCTCCTCGAACTCTGATGAGCTTGGTTGGGTGTGGACCTCTTTTGGGCTGGACCCATTGGATCTTCTTTATTCAAACTAGGCTTATAACATGAGTTGGGCCTTTTGGCCTGGCCCATCATTTTTCCCCCAATGCCCTGTGTCCAAAGAAACTTGGAGAAGAGAGCATTTAGTTAAACCTAGATCCTGGTTGACAAAGACTCCTCTTGAATATTGAATCAAATTCAATGTCAAGGCAATCAGCTTCAACCCAACAAGGTTTTTCTAGCAATTTGAGACAAATTCAGCTACATCCATGTTGCGCTTCAACTGAATCCGACTAAGGGTCCTCCTTCTTACCTGATATATTTTAGCTCTATAGGACATCTCCAGCTATATAAACTCCCTTCATTTTATTTTCTCTTAGAATCTCAAAAAGCCTTAGGCCATAAATTGGGGGTTTCTTCTTTCTTTCCTCATTTCATTCACTTTGAGAGGGGATTCCTCTTTGAGATACTTGAGAACCAAGTTGGATGAATGGGAGTAGAGATCTTATTTTTGAGATGATTGTTTAGAGGGCAATGTTGATCGAAGGAGAAGATGTGCAACGGTTCGTCGATCTTGGTGAGAAGTTTGGATCGGTCGACTTTGAGGCAAGATCTCAGGTGAACACTATTGAGGCAAGGAAGGCGGAAGGCATTGAGGCTACAGGGTAGGGGAGAGGTGAAGGCGAGGAGCAAAAGGGCAGAGCGTTGCGGGCTTAACCAGGTGTGGCAACCCTGGTCATTGAGATTGAGGCGCCATGGGCGCTGCCTGACGTGGTGACCCAGGAGGTGCTAGCTTGTGGGTGAGCTAGCCATAAGTTGGCATTGAAGCGAGCTAAGCATGGAGATCTAGGTGGTGCTTAGCGCTATTAGGCGAGCATGCCATGGGCGTTAAAGACAAGGCACCTCTAGCACTACAGACCGAAGGTCATGTCGATCATGGAGGAGGTTCTGAAGTTGAGGCACAAATCCAGGGGTTGAGGCTCCATGGGCGCTGTGCGCTGGCAAACAGGTGGAAGCTCCATCACGCGAGGCTGATTGAGGGGTGAGCATTATAGAATCAATACCTTTGGGTGCTGGTCAAGGGTCGACGAGCGTGAAGGAGGCATCGACAGCTATTGGGCATGACCAGGCAGGCAAGCATGTGGTTGGGCATGGAGCTAGCAAGTAGAGTATGGTGGAGGATGCTAGCGGCGATGATTCGGGTCAAATAACAGGTGATTTGGTTTGTTTGTGTGGAACTCCACAGAGTCAGATACCTCAAGGCTCTCCTGGTAGTGGCCTGGGAATGTTTCACGCCCCTTTAATGGCAAACACAGGGGAAAGGTAGTTCTTGATGACGATGGATCAAAAGTGAGTACCATTTCTAGTACCCTTAATACTAACTCTGATATTCTGCAGATCGTTTCCACTTATAATATTCTCCAAACGATACTGTGACGTAGAGCCAAAATGGGTGAGCCTACTTGTGATGACTCCTCTGAAAACGTTGTTATCTATAAGGTGGTGCTTGAGGCTAGGCTGAGGTTCCTAATGCCTTCCTCTGTTTGTCGCATTCTACATTATTTTTTGCTTGTGCCAGGGCGGTTGAAGCCCAACGGTTAGAGAGTTTTGCTGGGATTCCTGGTATTGTGAAGGAGGGTGCATCATGAGGATGTTTCTCCTGAAAAATTTTGTGTGGCTTATACTTTGAGTGAGACTCCTGCTTCCAACCATGGCTGGTATTATTTTGCTCCGATGAGAGGAAAATTGATCACTAGACTGCATTCTAATTATCATAGCTGGAAGGCTCGCTTCATGTTTGTAGGAGGAGAATGGCCTTTAGAGACTAACATAGCTTTGGTACCAATGAGATGGGATACTCCCAAAAGGATTGGTATGCCTACTCTTATTCTCTTTCCTTTTGCCTTTTTGCAAATATTTACTCATCATATTCTTTCCAGTTTTCCCAGTGCTTTCGAAAGACCAAGAATGGAAGTTACAGGCTGTGAAGGCTCACCCTATGAAGGAATTTGGGGCTCTCATGCTCAAAAAGGGTGGAGCTAGAGACTCTCCTACTAGTAGTGCTAAGGCTGGTGCACTCTCCCCGAGGCCTAGTGGTTCCTCCCTTAAGAGAAAAGGTATGTTAATCCCCTTGGATTCTCTTTCTTTGCTGAGTCTTTCTTTAAAATAACACTTTATTCCTCCTACAATGGATAGGACATTGGTGGAGTCCCATTATTCCACTAGGAGTACTCCTCCTCCTAAGGTAGCAAGGGTGAGCAATGCTTTGGTTAGCCCTTCTCAAATGACGCCTCATATGGCTCTCCCTAATCAGTGACTCCTTCAAAGGTAACTGCCACTCTAGAGACAGCCCAGACGACCATACCTCCTACCCCCATTCATTGACTATTTCTGCGGAGACTTCTATAGGGGCAGCCACTCAGATTGTCTCTATGCTGGCTGATATGCGGATCATCAAGGAACAACTTGGAAGATTTGTGTTTCCAGCAGACATCAATCAGCTTGGTGCTCAGGGTATTGAGGGCATCATCGACACTGTTCTGGAAGGTCTAGCCCAGGTAAAGGTATGTTTTCTCCCTTGCTCTTGTCCCTTTCTCGGATATTGATATTCTTTTTTCTTCCTTAGGTTTTAGCTGCGTCTGTGTGCCTTTTTTTGAGGGTTGTCTAGTTTAGCCAGCTGAGCTCAAATGTCAGGGGGGAAAAGGCTCGCTCATGAAGCTGTAAAAAGGGAGCTCCTTGTTGCTCAAGGCAGAATCGCTAAGCTTGAGGCTGATGGTAAGGCTTCCTGGGATGAGCTTGTAATAACTCGTGAGAGGGTCAAACTCAGAGAGACTGCTTGCACTAGAGCCGAAGTAGAGCTTGTGGCGACCTACGAGAGGGCCGTTAAACTTGAGATTGAGCTTGTGGTGACCTGTGAGAGGGTCGCTAAGCTCGAGACTATTGGTGAGGCTGCTCACTTGAAAGCAGAGACGGAGTTAAAGGCAGCTCGCAAGAGGGCTTCTCGGGCTGAGGCAGATTATAATTGGCTCATAAGAGGGCTGTCAAGGCTAAGGCTGATTTAGAGAGTGGCCTTGCAGATGCCTTCATTGATGACTATGAGGAGCTTCGGGGAAAGATTTTTGTTATTTTTCCTAATATTTACCTTTCAGGCTTTATGCCGTATGAGACGCCTGATGATGCCGATGGTGATGATAGTGACTTTGACGGTGCAGAGAGCGAGGACGAGGAGGATGGCGATGACCATACAAGCAGTTAGAGTGCTGGGGACTTTTGATTATTTTTTTTTGTGGAAAGACAATGTGTAGCCTCTTTTTGTAAAAGTGACTTTTTAACACTGATGTTCACTAGAAATAGAATGGAAGGAACGTTTTGAAGTAAATTTAGAAAGTTTTATTTGATGACTGCTCATTCTAAGCAATGGTGAAGATACAAGAAAAAATATAATCAAGCCCTCAGCTTTATTACTTCTGCCCTCCTTAAGTGTCATTGATAGTACCTTTTGAAATGCTCAGCATTCTATGGATGGAGTAAAACTTTTCCTTCTAGACTTTGGATCCTATAGGTGTCTAGCCTCACTATTTCTATTATGAGGTAGGGTCCTTCACAATTTGGTCCAAGTTTTCCTTCCCGCGAATCCTTCATGGTAAGGATTACTTTTTTAAGGACTAAGTCTCCTGGTAGGATGGAACAATGCTTCACCCTCGAGTTATAGTATCTCATCATACAGCGCTTGTACTCAGCGTTTCAAAATATGGCCATTTCCTTTTCCTCCTCCACCAAGTTGAGGTTAACGCAAAGTCCTTCTTAGTTGGTGATGGGATCGTGATGTTGGACCCTTAGAGAATGTACTCCAATTTCTACAATTATGACTGCTTCAGTTCCAAAGGCAAGTGAAAAAAGGAGTTTCCCCAATTGGGGTCTTTGGCGTCATTCGGTAGGCCCATAATACACACGAGAGTTCATCCACCCATAGGCCCTTTGCTCTTTCTAGCCTTGTCTTTAGGTTACATAGTACTGTTCTGACTGTGACCTCTACCTGTCCATTTTCCTGCGGGTGCGCTTGGCTATAATAAGACTGTTTTATCTGGAGGTTGGCGCAGAACGAGTTCAACAGCCTGTTATCGAATTGCTTGGCATTGTCATTGACTATGGCGTAGGGTACTCCAAAGCGGCACACTAAGTTTTTCCAAATGAAGTCCTTGACCTTTGCGTCTGTAATCTTTGCCAAGGGCTCAACCTCTACCCACTTCGTGTAGTAGTCGATGGCCACCACCATGAACTTGCACTACCCCCTGCTTAGAGGCAAAGGGCCTAAGATGTCGATGTACCATTTGGAAAAGAGCCATGGACTTGTGATGGTTATCAGCTCTTCTGGTGACTACTTGGGCATAGTGGCGAAGCTTTGGCACTTGTCGCATTTCCTAGTGAACTCTTGTGCGTCCTTAACCATATTAGCCCAGAAGTAACCCTGTCTGAGTGCTTTGTGGGCTAGGGAGCATTCTCTAGATTGGTTTTCACAAACTCTTTCATGGATCTCTCGCTGGGGATAGTTAGCTTCCTCTGGGAAGAGGCAACGTATAGGGAGTAGCCCTTTTGTACAGGATGTCCTCTAGGATGGTGAACTTGAAGGCTCTCATCCTAAGCTTCTTGGCTTCTAGCGGGTCATATGACTACGCGCTCTCTTGAAGGTATACCTTTATTGGGGTCCTCCAGTTTGACTTGAAAAATATGCAGTTGACATTAGTGACTTCCACGTCTAGCCTACTTGGTTCGAGTTGGTGACTGATGAATGCTAGTTCTGGTGGGACGTCCAAGGATAAGGCGAGTCTGGCTAGTGCATCTGCAGTAATATTGTCTTCCCTCAGGATATGATGGATTTGGAAGTGGTGAAACTCAATTAGCAAGGTTTGCACCATAGCAAGGTACTCCTGCATTTTAGTTCCTTTTGCTTTGAACTCGCCCTTTACTTGGTTGACTATTAACTAAGAGTCACTATAAGTGATGAGATGTTGAGCTCCCATTTTAATTGTCAACCTTAAGCCAGAGAGGAGGGCTTCATATTATACTTCATTGTTAGAAGCTATAAAATAAAGCTTTATGGCATACTTGAGTGGAGTGCCATCAGGACTTATCAGTATCAGGCTTGCTCCACCTCCTTCACTGGTCGAAGAGCCATCCACATAAAGCTCCTAGTGAGGTGGAAAATAAAGGGCCTTGGAGGTTGTAGAGGACGGCAAGGCATCTATTATTAGTGCCAGGATGCCCTGGGCGCCCAAGTCTAGGCGCTTGTGCACCTGGTTGGGCTTTCGATGAGGCTTCCTGAGATGTCGAGGTTCTGTTGTCTTCTTACTCCGCTAGAGTGAGATCGGCAACGAAGTCCACCAAGGCTTGTGCCTTGATGGCTACCCTTGGTTGGTACTACACCTCGAACTCGCCAGCTCTACCACCCATTTTAGGAGTCTTCCAAAAATATTTGGCTTTCCAAAGACTCTCTTTAGAGGTTGGTTCGTGATAACAACAACGATGGTGTGACTCTGGAAGTAATGTCAGAGATGCCTTACTATTGAGATCAAGGCGAGTTCCAACTTTTCTATCCCTAAATATCTTATTTCTGCTTCTTAGTATGCCCTACTGACGTAATAAATTGGTTTTTGCACTCCATCATTGTCCTTGATGAGGACAGAGCTTACTGCCGATGGGGAAGTAGAGATGTACAAGTACAAAGTTTTACCTAGAGTGGCATGTGAAATGAGTGGAGGCGTAGCCAAATAAGCTTTTAACTTTTGAAAGGCTTCCTCTGCATTAGGTTCCCACTTAAAGGCTTTTCAAAGAATTCTGAAGAAGGGTATACACTTATCTATATACTTGGAAACAAATATGTTGGGGGCTGCAATTCTCCCATTGAGGCGTTGGAGCTCCTTGGTTGTGGTGGGTGATCTCATATCTAGGATGGCTTTTATTTTGTCTGGATTCACCTCAATTCCCTTTTGGTTGATCATGAAGCCCAAGAAATTTTCTGATCCAACGCCAAAGGTGCACTTCTTAGGGTTCAGCTTCATGTGGTATGACCTGAGAACATCAAATATTTTCTGAAGGTCGTCTATGTGGTTTGTTGTGGCGAGGCTCTTTACCAACATGTTATCCACGTACACCTTCATTGTTCTCCCAATCTAGGACTGAAACATCTTGTTCACCAGTCGTTGGTATTTGGCTCCTGCATTTTTCAATCCAAAAGGCATGACCCTATAGCAGTAGGTTCCCTTTGGAGTGATGAATGATGTCTTTTCCTGGTCTAAGGGATGCATGCTGATCTGGTTATACCTAGAGTATGCGTCCAAGAAAGTAAACAGTTTGTGGCCTGCAGTGCCGTCGATGAGAATGTCGATTTGTGGCAACGAGTAGTTGTCTTTAGGGCTTGCCTTGTTGAGTTCGGTGAAGTCGACGCAAAGGCGCCATTTTTCATTGGCTTTGGTCACCATCACTACATTTGACAGCCAACTAGATAGGCAACTTTGCTAACTGCTTCATTTTCTATTAGCTTTCCTACCTCCTTGTCCATTGTCTGCGCCCTCTAGTGGAGACACTCCTCAGCTTTTGGCGAATGGGCTTGTAATGAGGGTCGACATTGAGATGGTGTTTGGCGACCTCAGGGTCGATGCCCTCGAGGTCCTCGTGCAACTATGCAAACACGTCCATATTGAGCCTCAAAAAATTTGTATGCTATTGGGCTAGATCCTTAGGAAGGGATGAGCCAATGTATACCCTTTTGTTTGGAAACTTCTCATCCATAAACACTAGTGTGAGCTCCTCCACTAGTTCTCCTCTCTCTAATGTGGCATCATCTCTAGGGTCAAGGACCTCCACTTGTAGGGCTTCTTATGGCTTTCTGGTCTTCATGGAGGAGATGTAGCATTCTCTTGCAACAACCTGGTCTCCCCAAACCTCTTCGATTCCATTCGGGGTTGGAAAATGGAGGATAAGATGATAAGTGGAGGGCACAGCTCTTAGGATGTTAAGAGTGGGTCACCCTAGGATGACATTGTAGGCTAACGGGCAGTCTATCACCAAAAAAGTTACCATGACCGTGGAGCTTCAGGGTGCAACACTAGCAGTGACTGACAAGGTGATTGATCCTAGGGGATATATTTTCTCCCCTAAAAATCCAATAAGGGGTGACCTGATAGGCTGTAGTCTTTCTCTCTCAAGGTGGAGCTTGTCATAGGCTTCTATGAATAAGATGTCCGCAGAGCTGCCAGTGTCTACAAGAATCTTTCACACTTGAAAGTTAGCGATGATCATAGTCAGCACTAGTGGGTCGTCGTAGGGGTGCTGAATCCCTTCCCGGTCCTTGTCTGAAAAGGATATGACCTCATCATTTCCTTTCTTGTGTGCTTTGGACGTGTGTAGATCGTAAATGTTTCTAGCCTTTCTAGCATAAGCCTTCATGGTTAAGAGGGATTCTCCTCCTCCTACGAGCCCTCTAGATATGGTCTGAATTTCTCCAAGGGGTTACTAGTCCTCATGGTTATGAGGTAGTGGTAGCACTTGACCCCTACCAACGACATACTAGCCTAGTTGACCAAGTTGTATAAGCTCTTCAGTCTTTTAAGCTCATAGCAGTCATTGGTATCGTTGTCGTGATCACAATGGAAGCGACAATACTTGTTCGGATTCCTATGATTTGGGGGAGATTTCATTCTTCTAGGCCACTTTATTGTGGGGTCATCCAGGATCTAGAATAGGATGTGCCCAACAATGGTATTAAGGGGAGTGAAGATCTACCGCTCCCTCTGAGGAGCAGGACCAAGCCGATCTTTGGCATACACTCTTTTTGTCCTGCCTGGTTTGTTTTGTTATCCTTCTTCTCTTCTCTGTGTCTTTCCTTTCTCTTCTCCCCTGTTCATGAAGATTCACCTCGTCTGGCCCTGGTGATGTCCTCAATATTCATATACTTCTGGGCTTTTGCCAACAATTGTGGCATGCTCTTTGGTGGGAGCTTCATCACTAAGAAGAGGAAGCTCGAGAAGTGAATGCCTCCCAAGAAGGCGGCCATGGTGAAATTATCATCGGGCTCCTCAATCTGGAGTACCTCCTCGTTAAAATGAGTGAGGTAACTCCTCAGGTTGTAGTCCCGATCCTGCTTTGTGCTGAATAGCTAGGTGGCAGGCTTCTGGTTACAACGTCCTTCCATGAAGTGTGGCACAAAGAACCTGTTCAGTTTGACGAAGGAGCCTATGGCGGCTAAGATGAGCTTGGCAAACTACTATCGGACAAATCCCTTCAAGGTAGTTGAAAAATCCCTACACATGACTTTGTCAGGAATATTATGTAGTTGCATGAAGGATTTGTAAGTTTTGAGATGAGCTAGTGGGTCCTTTATACCGTCAAAAGTTTCTATGGATGGCATTTTGAATTTATAGGGAAGGGATAGTTTGCTACATTTGGCACAAAGGGTGTGTCAGTTTACCTTACGAGCTAATCCACTATTTCTGGTCCTTGTGCCTACATGGCATTAAAGACACGCCCAGTTGATTCTGTACCTCTTTGATTTTTTTGTCCCAGTGATTGGGAGCTCCTTTCGAATTGTGATGGAAATGGCTTCTATGTTCCACACTTTGGTTTTCACCCTCATCCTCTTGGAAACAAGGATCTCCACTGTAGGAAGAGGGAGCTGGAGGCGGAGCTCCCTTATGGTTCTGATAAGGGGCTCCCCTGTAGGGGGTGCCCAAGTGGGGAACTCCTTGGTGCCTAGGGCGTGGAGCTCCTCTAGCTTGCTATCTTCCCGGCTGCGCACCTCCTTATTGTCCAGCAAGCATCAGCTGCAGGATCTGTTGATTCTGAGTTTCGAGTTGTTACATTGTTTCCAGCACCTACTGTGCATTCGAAACAAGATTAGTTGGTGGCGGGGCAACCTCTTCCTCTCATGGTAGATTGTCTTCGAGCTAATTCATGAATTTGGTGGTGATCGTCATAGGTACAGCAAGAAAAGTGATTGAGTGAGAACTTTGTCATTTCCCATAGACAGTGTCAAACTGATGATGCACAAATTGATTTTATGCATCACCTATCGAGTGAATGATGATTAATGCAGTAATTAAAAAGGAAGAAAGTAATTCAAGCAAGACAAAGATGTAGAGTGGTTCGGTCAACGTGACCTACTCCACTATGAAGGGCTAGAATGGCCTGATGTTTTATTAATTCGAGGAGTGAAGGTATGCGAAGGAGAGCAATGGATATACAAGTTATAAGAGAGAGATGAGAGTGATTGTGCCCAATGCCCCCCAAGTTTTGGCATGGTTTACAATTTATAGTCTCTCTTAATAGATTGAGGCGTCTTTTCAATAATTAAGTGGCTCTGGTGGAGTAGACGCTATCTTCTCAACAGATGAAATAATTACAAAACTTTCCTTAACACCATGTCAAAGATGATATGGTGGTTGACTTTTTTGCAAGGCGGGTAAGGCTCTTAGGATAACCCTGCCTACTCCCTTGGTGATGTAGCTCCTCAAACTCTGATGAGTTTGACTGGGCGTGGACCTCTTTTGGGATAGACACATTAAATCTTATTTATTCAGACTGGGCTTATAACATAAGTTGGGCCTTTTGGCTTGGCCCATCAAACCTATCCCCCAAATTTTGAGCGATTCGAATACAATCTAAAATTTTCAATTCAAATTTAAATTGAAAACTCTTTTATTAAATTCAACATGGTTATATAACATATTAAATTTTTAAGGTTCATTTCCAAATAAGTTTTTATTTTTTTGGGTAACTATATATTTAGTATTACAATTAGAAAGTTTTATTCTCAATTTATAAAAAGACAATAATAGTTAAGATTAATCAAATTTTCATGTCCTTTGATCTAATGGTATAAAATTCATTTCAAAAAAAATTAAAATCACGACCATTGACCTATCATAATTGTAGTATTATGAGATCTATGTTTGAATTACAATGACGGATATTTGCTTCTAATGTTCAATTGCTGTAATTTGATACCTGAACTATTGAATTTGACATTAAGTAGTCTTCAAATTACCATTTAAATTTTTGGTAGAATTAGACTATATATTGTTCTTGTGACCTTGAGAATACAACTTTTGTTTGGATCACATGATCAACACGTGATCTAATTTTGTCTAATACTTATTAACATCAGATCTATGGACAAAATAAATTTAAATATAATATTTCAGATATCAAATTAAAACAATTAAATCATTGGGGACTAAAATGCATAGAACACATAAATTAAGGTTATTCCTGTAACTAGTGCTCAATCTATCTCATCATACTTCTCCATGATTACTTTGCATATGCTTGTGCAGCAGTTTTGCCCCCCTCATGCATAAAATAATACACATTTGTCAAATAATGTCCATATATATATACAAACACACACACATATTCATATATATAAACTCATATGTATGTTTATATAGCCTTTGTGATTGCACATACCCCATGATCCAAATCCCCAACTGAAAGAGGAGATGAGAGACATGGGACAGGGTAGCTTTGAGTTTGAGAAAATGAAGCTGTTTCTTGCATTGCTGGCTTTGCAACTCTGTTTTGCAGGGATTCACATTGTATCTAGAGTTGCACTGAACATTGGTGTTAGCAAAGTTGTTTACCCAGTCTATAGAAACATTATTGCATTGCTCTTGTTGGGACCCATTGCTTATTTCTTAGAGAAGTGAGTTCTTCTATGTGGGTTCTATTTGTTTCTTCTTCCTTCTTGCTTCCCCCACTTTTTCTCTTACAAAGACACTCATGAGATGGTTCATGTTATTATTGTTTGGACCATCATTATATTGTCTTGATTTTCATTTTCAGGAAAGAAAGACCACCTCTTACTTTTTCTCTAATTGCACAGTTCTTCCTTCTAGCACTAGTGGGGTAAAGCAGCAACTCGATGAGCAGGATAAGACTATGGTAGCGAAAAGTGATATATCGGTACTGTACAAAAAATTATGACAAAATAAAAGTTAGTTTATAACTCATTTGAGCGAGGTTACGATAAAAATCAACCTTAATATTTTTAGACTGAATATAACATTTTGAAATCTATTTTTATTTTTTTGAGCCGCCGTTACCTTTTTGAGTGATTACTCAAATCCAACTGCGAAGTCGATACCATAGTCCTACCCTCAATTGTATAATGTTGTTCTTCACATATTTCATTTTTGGGGTTTTGACTAGCTTCTTTCTGTCTCCAGAATCACTGCAAATCAAGGATTTTATATCTTAGGGTTGTATTATGCATCCCCAACCTTGGCATCAGCAATGCAAAATGCAGTTCCTACATTTACTTTTGTCATGGCTTCTGCTTTAAGGTGTTGATCCAGATCTTCAATCTTGTACAAAACAAAAAATTCTATATAATAAAGCTGAACATAAATCACAACAACAACCTAGATTGTTGGACTTGGCCTCTTATCTTATGATTTATATTTTATTTTGGGTTAATTGCAGCAGAGGTCTCATTTTAATCTCTAATATTTTAATTGCATTATTTTGAACTTGATATATTAAATATATTTCTATGTGGTCCCTCAATCAGACAGCATCCAAATTATTAACTATTTTTAATCACAAACTTATCACGTGATACCTAAATATGGGCAAAACAATTATTTGGGTAGCTCTTAACCAAAAATATATAATTTGGATAGCTCTTTGACCAAAATTTGTGTAAAAATTTGGTCAAGAGTCACCTAAATTATTTTTTATCCATATTTAATATCACATGACAAGTTCTGATTAAAAAACTATTAATAATTTGGACTCTGCTTGAGAGAACACCTAGAAACATATTTAATATTTTAAGGACTAAAATAATACAATTAAAATATTAGATATCAAAATGATACAAACTCATACTTTAGAGACCTTTAGTTAAATTAACCCTTTTAAATTTTTAACCACGTGAAATCTTGTTATTTAAATTTTAATTTTTTTGAAGCACAATAAATTTGCCTATTTATATTTTAACTATTTAAGTACAGTAAATTTACTTATTTACATTTTAACCACAATAAATTTATCCACTTCCATTTTCACCATCAAGTTTACGTGTAGACTTAGGTTTCTTTCATTAGTGTCATGTCATTTGGACCCTAATAAAAACTCTAAATAATCAGTTATCATGTCATTTGGACTTTAAATTTTATCAATCTAACATTACTCTTACGATGTATTGCACAGGGTAACTCTAGTATAACTAGATGGAGCTGAAAATTGTTGACTGATCACTTTCCTTGTTGCTTTCTCTCTAAGACTTGAGCAAGTTAATACTGCAAGGAGAGAGAGGTTAGCAAAAGTAGTGGGAACCATCGCAAGTGAAGGTGGTGCCACTGTTATTACCCTGTACAAAGGCCCTCCTCTTTTTCATCAGTCACAGCAGCCACATGGAAGTGATGATTCTTTAAATGGGGACACACTTTTCTCCCCAATAGAAACACAAAGCTGGACATGGGGATGTATTTATCTTCTGGGACACTGCTTCTCTTGGGCTGGTTGGATGGTCCTTCAGGTCAGCCGTCAGCCTATAACCAACACAAGAAAAACACAAACTTATTATTTTTTTCACTCACTCAATATTTTTTTTATAACCAACACAAGAAAAACATCAACTTTTAAGTGCAAATTTTAAATGTTGCTGGCTCCTGTGGTGAACAAGTACCCTGCTAAACTCTCACTCACCTCATTCACATGCTTCTTCGGATTGATACAGTTCTTAGTAATAGCAGCTTTTGCAGAAAGAGATCCAAAGCACTGGCAAATCCAATCCGGAGAGGAGATTTTCACTATCCTATATGCTGTAATACATTCCAAACCAAGTCAACCATTGCTTCTTCCTATCTATTTTAATAAGGAAAATTATAGAATATCACCCAATGGTTTGATCTAGTTTCATATTACCTCCCTATAATTTAAAAACCTACACATTAGCCCCTTCAATTTTGGACTAAACTGAAGTTATTTAGGACTTTTGTTTAAACTGATGGTCAAAGGTCAAAGTTCAATAATATTTTAATAAAATGCTATGTCAAAATGACTTAGTGTACCCTTGTTTGTGTTTCTCTCTCTAAAACAAATCAATCTCTTTATTTTTTCTCATTCTATGCAAATTAAATGTTTCATCCCAAACCACATGGGGTTATGTGCTGATTTTTAAACTGTGGACTTCAAGTGTTACTGGATCAAATCACCGGTATGTAATCTATAATTTTCCCATCTTATTCTTTGGATTTCCATTGTTTAACAAATACATAATCATACAATCTTGTGTTTGCTTCAGGGAGTTATATCATCTGGGATTGTTATCTCTCTTCAAACCTGGTGTATTCACAAAGGAGGTCCTGTCTTTGGTGCAAACAGTATTAGTTGCTATCATGGCATTTGAAATCCTCGGCGATCAGTTATACTCTGGATGGTATTGGTGTCAATTTTACCTATTCACACACAACACCACACAAGCCTGAAACCTCATAAGAACATGACTCATTAACTACAATAGTAAACAGCTTAAATTAGTGTTAGACATGAATGATTTGTTTAACCGGACTTTTCATTTTTCTATCTAGTAATGTATAGATTGTTTTAGAATTACATAGTTATTTAGTAACACAAATATTAATACAAAAAACGATATGAAATATTTCATATCACGATCGAACTCGATTCATACCTGGTATGGACAAAGACTAAAATCGAACTGCATTGCGTTAACATACTAGATCTCTCAATCATTTCTCTCTTCTCTTGCAGGATTATAGGTGCAATTCTCATTATGGTTGGTCTCTACTCTGTTTTGTGGGGTAAAACTAGAGAACAAAAGATGACAGACCAGGATAAGGAAGAGATATCGACAAAACCTCTTCTTGATGCCCATGTAAATGATAAAATAAAAATAAAAACACTGTAATATGTGACATTCCATAGCTTGCTGCTCTGTTAACAAAGCAAGACAGTTCACACATGGGTGATTGATTGGCCCTCAATTTACTGATGCCATATGAAAGAGAATTGACACTGGTCAGAGAGATAAGCTCAGGATTCAAACATGTAGATCTGAGTGGATTTCCTTTTTACTCTATTAAATAAAATTCAATTATCCTGGAAATGCATTGAAGAGAAGCCCATTTCAGTGGGTCTACAGACCATAAATCTGACTTGGTTGGTTGGCAGGTTGTCAATTATAAAAATTGGAGTCGGTGAAAGTGTGGCTCTATGAATTTAATCTTTATATAATCAATTATCACCTACCACATTGCTTTGGAATTTATTTATCCAATTACTCTAGTTTTATTTATCCAAATACTCTAGTTTTAAACTCGTTTATTAAACTACCATTGGTTTCAAAAAACGCATTTTGAAAATGATGTACGATAATTGGGTGCAAGGAAGTGGATACAAACTTATAAAGATTAGTTACTTCTCCTAAACTAGGCTTCATAATTTTACGACCTCTGCCAATGTAAATGAGATGAGGGTACGGTACTAAATGTACCAAAAATTATCACCACTGAAGGACAAGTTACACCAAAGGAGAAGTTACAACTATTTTTTACTGATCACAACATTTAACGTTCAATCACAATCTTGTGAAATTGACTATAAAATGTTATGATTGATCATTAATCACCTCAATCAGTTGTCACTTCTCTTTTGTAATGTATAACTCGAGTATTAAAAATTGTATTTTTCATAATCGATCACAACAGTTTAAAATAAATCATAACATTTTGGGGCATAACTAAGATCCTTTTGAATTGGAACTTAGACCTTCAAAATGGTTGTAACATTACCTTCAAATATTATAACTTTCGGTTCATTGTCAAAATGCGAATATCGGGAGCCATACTCGTTCCTTCATAAGTTATACATTAAGGAGACCCCAGAACGGCAAATATATTCAGCTTATGAGAGGTGGTGCAACCACAGGTTCAACATTAGAGTACGAAAAAAATAGATGCTTCTTAACTATCTGCTACTTTACTGAGAAAAAAATGATTCTGGCTGTCAATTATATTGCATAAAAGGCGATATTTGGAGGAATTAGTCATCTATGCAAAAGCATATACATTGTCTCAACTAGAATGTAGTAGCAGATCCCCAAAAAACAAAGTAGAATGTAGTAAGCTAAGCATAAAAATGCTTACACGGGTTATAAATATAAATACAAGGACAATTGTATAGAAGGAAATACCAAAAGTTACAACATTTCAAATCTTTTGAAGGCCTAAATTACAACTCAAATGGATCATTATACATCATAAAATATTGTGATAATATAACTTGTGAAGTCACAATTATTTGAATTAATTTATAATCGATCACAACATTACATGATTGATCTTGTGGTCAATCATGAATAGTTGTAACGTGTCGATGTGTCTTGTAGTTTGATCTTTTATGGTGGTATTTGTGTTACAGAAATTTTTTCCTATAAATTTTTTGGCAGAAAAGATGACAAAATTCTTATAACAGCGCTTCTTACGAGGAACAAACTTCTCACAAAAGGCAGAAAATAACTAATAAGATTCAGGGAAAGAAGGTACAAAAACAGAGGAATGCAATAAAAGACAGGGATGTTCAAGGCAGCAATTGATTAAGGGGTAGACACAACCTATTAAGACCAAACAAGTTAGAAGTTATAGCAAACCATGAATACAAGGGAATCAGTAAGAAAACCTAAAGAAGGTGCAGAGAGGAAAAAGCTTCCTTCAAGCATTCAACAAGAAGCAAAACAACCCAAGCAGGCTTGCAATAAGACTAGAAAAGATCAAACTCATAGACACCATCTTGGCAGGAAATTTGGCTGAGTAATCAGAATTGCAAGGCACACCACAGAATCCAAGTACAACGGTAAAGACAATTAAAAATCAAATCAGATTCCCAAAGATCAAAGTCAATCCAACCAATAATCTCATCACAAGAGCTCTAGAAAGGCCCAAACGACTCATCTCCTCCAGACCCTATCTAAAGGAGGCAAACCAGAAAAAAAAAAAAAAAAAAAAAAAAAAAAACACGAGAATATATAAATTCACCCATTGAATCCTCTAACTATTCAAAGTCCATCATCAAGGCCATCAATAACAATTTCAATCCAACAAACAACTCTCATCAAACACCTCCCACTCAAAATCAGATAACAATGCCTTTCAAAGAAATTCCTCAATCTCCTTTCCAGCGCTAGGGGAAAAAAAATCTTAGCAAGCTCAAAGTCCCCCCCCCCCCCCCCCCTATCCTTCTCCAAATTCCAAAAAGATTTACAAACTAAAAACACTTACTCTCACAGTTTAAAAGAAAAAGAAGCAAATCAAGTGTCAAATAGATATAAAAGTAAAAGCATTCCACTTGGTCTTTGAATATGCCTCACTGATACTAAATTTTCTCTTTAGCTGTTGGAGATCAAAACCACAAAAAGCACCCAACGTATCAGCAGCACAGCAAAAAATATTCCAATTCTTCTAACAACTAAACCTTTCCCAACAAAATCTATCTGAATTCAAACAATTTTTCTATTATGCGTAGATATGTAATATTATGATCACAAGCCAATAGCCCAAACACCTGAAACTCTAAATTTAAATCTGAAGACAACAATCTAACAGGCACACAAACGCACACACATAAATAGAAATGTGTGTATTAAACCATAATCCTTATGTTCCCAAAAACTAAAGGCCATGGCGTTAAACACACATACCCCCAAATTGGGGTGTGAATTTGCTGAATTTTAAAACACTGTGGACTGACAATGTGAAAAGTAATTTTAGTCTTTAATGTCATAGACCATGGTTTTTTAACGATTTTCTTGTTACCCATTACTGGATTGGACAACTTGTCCACCTTTGATTGGTTTTTTTTGTAAATAATAAAGTTGCCTTTTCTTATCAAAAAAAATGTGAAAATGATTCAAGAACTGTACCAACTTAGTATTCCACCTAGAAATAAATGAAAACAATAAAGCAATCAAAACTTCTGCCTAGGTTGGCAAAGAAGTCTTTTTACCTCAAAAGAAAACAACAAAGATAATCAAGACTACCAGCCTTAATCATTAATAATGCCCTCACTATCAATAACTACGTGGACCATAAATAGAAATTTGAGATCTTACAAGCCTACAAGCCAACAAAATGTGGACAAGATGAAATAAAAAATCTGACTTATCAAAAATATATAAACAGAAATACAAAAATGACATTGTCTCACGGCACAAATGCTTCAAGAATAGAAGGCAATAAAAGATGGAGATGGTGTTCCAGGCGGTGGCAAAGTTAAGTCAACCTCTGCGTAAGAAGTAAGTAGAACCAGAAAACACCAAAACAGACAAAGCTAACAACAAACAGCTGAGATTCAAATAAAAAAAAAACGTGCAGGAAAATATACAGAGAGTAAAATAACGATTAGCAAAATTAACTAAATGGCTTAGGAGCAAAACTGAAAAAAAATCAAACTCAGTCATCCCCTTGGCAGAGAATTTTGCATCCAAACTCCAGACTCCAGAGAACTTCATTTTTAGGAGCATGATTAAGTTTAGAATTTGTTTTTTAGGAATTGAGTTTATAAGATTGAGAATCAAAAAAGTATTCCAAGGATCCAGGAGTTCCAGAAAGGCCCAAAGAAGTTGTATCCTTAGTACCTTACAAGGAGCAAATGACAAAGAAAAACACAAGTATCTGTGACCAGGCAGCTTGAAGAAAAAAGTACCTTGTCTAATATGATAGGGAGACAAATCACCAATACCACATTGGAACCATCGGCAGGTTGCAAAGGGAAAAATTGTTCAATATCTTCACTTTTCTTAACAATTAAAGTTTTGACTTTGCTCAGGAATCACAATTAAGACACTCAAGAATTATGACTACATTAATATTTCAATGCAAGAATAGATGAATGCATATGTACAAATAACAGCTGTAATACTTTCCCCCTACAAGAGAAGCCAATGTTGATGTTTCATATAAAGCTTTCAGCCTTAGTTAAACGTATGCATAAAATGGCCATCAAAGCTTCAAGAAATAACGTTAGTACCAGAGAGACAGTCTGTACAGCAGTAAGTGAAATATTTGACTAAGGTGAAGTAAAATTTCCTGTTTGAGCAAACTAAATTTTAATACCCACACAAGTTGAACAGCACACCTAAGATGGTGTACAAACTCTCAATGAACCATAAAAGGTTCCAATGACATAAGGTCAAATAATTGTTACTTCTATTTAAGATTGTCATTTGGTATGGCACTTAATATGACCAAATACAAAGAGATTATCACTAGTAGAACATGAACCCAAAAGAGCCAATAAAGATTCAAATAAAAACCATAGATTAACCAAATCACAGTTAACTTGAGTTTAACAAAAGCAGCAAAGAAAAAAGTCATTACATATAACCAAAAAACCTGAGAGATCACTAATTCCAGAAGCACACAAATAAAAAGATAATATGAAAAACAATTTTCTCATGCCCCACCATTATCGTGTTCTGACAAATCTACCTCACTGTAACAATATCATCAATCTTCAAAATCATCCGCACACACTCTGTCGCTAGAGAGATAGCGCTTGTGCTCACCAGCAGTGGCTGCACCACATTCTCCTCCAAGATATTAGTGATTTGCCCCTTCCTCACATTGATCCCAGCATGTATCTCACCTTGTGCGTGCCTATTCCTCAACTCAGTCACAATAGCAATTGGGTTTAACCCTGCATTCTCAGCCAACGTATACGGAATAACCTCAAGTGCCTCCGCAAATGACCTGACACAGTAGCTCTCCATCCCTTGCAAAACCTTGGCCCATGTACCCAATTGCCTTGAAAGCTCAATCTCAGGTGCCCCACCACCTGCAATCAAGAACCTCTTATTTACCAAACACCTCACCACGCACAATGCATCATGCAAGCTACGTTCAGCCTCATCAATGACCAACTGATTTGACCCACGAACCAGCACTGTTGTGGTCCTTCCCATATCCTTAATCCCGGTAATCTTCACAATCTTCCCACCATCCCCCAACGAAACCTCCTCAACCAAATCTGCGTACCCCAACTTTTCAGCTCTAAAATGCTCAATATTTGCAATAGGCAAACAATTCAATGTCTTTGTGATAAATTCAATCTCATCTCTCTCTACATCCTTAATCACCAAAATCTTCGCCTTTGCCAGATAATGCAATGATAAGGCTGTCACTGCGTCCCTCAAAATGCTCTTCTGAATCAACAACACATTACATCCCGTTGCTTTAATCTTCTTAATCATCCCCAGAATATAATTCCTCTCTTCCTTCAATATCCTATCCATCTGTGTATAGTCTGAAACCACAATTGATTGCTCAATATCGGTCTTTGGTGGGGAAATCTGAAACTGAATCACTGCAATCTTAGCATTTTCAACCCGGGTCAGTCCACCTGAGGAATGACTCACTTTCTTATCAAAAACCAAACCCTTAACTAGCTCAGTATCATCGACAGTCCCTCCCAGTTTCTTCACAATCTTAATATCCCTCAGATCAACCATGTCTGATTTTGCGGGGTCTACAGCTGAGAGTACAGCATCAACAGCTAGTGGAGCCAAAAGCAAAGAATACTGTGAAACCACTTTACTATTTAAAGAGGTGGTAGCAGCTTTGATTAGCGATTCAGAGTCTGACAATTCTAGTGGTATAGCCATTGCTGTTAATACTTCAACTGCCTTTATAGAAGCCTTGTGAAGAGCTTCCGAGACAATGGTCGGGTGAATACCTGATAAAACGGATATGCATAATTTCAACAAGCTGTTAAAAGCTCACAGCAACATACATTAAGGTGGCATTTGGTAACCGCCTGTTTTTGTTTTCATTTTATGGCTAAAAAAAAACAAAAATATGTTTGGTGAATGTTTTTGGTTTTTTTTTTAACATCTCCATTTTAAAAACAAGACTAAAATATGAAAACATCAAAAATGATATTTTTGAAAACATCCAAAAAAGAAACACGGGCACAGTTCAAATGTCTCATTTAATGAGATCCTAACTTTGACTCTCCTTAGTAACAAAATGTGAATTTTTTATGTTTTAGTATAAAAACCCCCCTCTCGGGTCTCTTTCGACTCGAATTTTTTTTCAGGTCTCTGGTCTCTCACAACTCACTCGAATTTTTTTTTCAAGTCTACGGTCTCTCTCTCTCTCTTCTCTAATGGTTTGTTGGGCAATTTCCAGTTTGAGTTTTGGGGGTGATGGTGGGGTTGGGTGGTAGTGGGTTTCAGGGATGAGTAGTGGGTTTTGATCGGGAGTTTCAGGGGTGGGTAATGGGTTTCGGTGGTTATGGTGGTAGGGGTGGGTTGTGGGTTTCGATGGTGGGGGTTGGATTGGGGGTGGATTTCAGTGGTTGTGGTTTCGGTGGTAGTGGGGTTGAGTTTCGGTGGTTGGATTGGGGTTGGTTTGTATGGTGGTGATGGTGGATTTCGGTGGTGGTGGGTGATGGTGTTTGGTGGGGGGGTGGGTTTCAATGGTGGGATTGGGTGGTGGATTTCGATGGTAGGGTTGGGTGGTTGTTTTGGGTGGTCAGTGGGGTTGGGTGGTGGGGTTTGGGTGGTGAATTTTTGGTATAATATCAAACAAGTTTTTTATTTTTGTTTTTACAATTTTTTAAGTATAAATGACTACCAAACATATTTTATATTTTTATTTTTATCACAAAAAAAACAAAACTTAGTTCTATTTTTTTTATTAAAAAAAACATAAAAACGAAAACGTTACCAAACGCACCTTAAAACAAACTATCAAACTAGTTAAAATCATCATGTCATCACCCAGACCGTACTTAATTTGATTCCAGAAGGAGAATTGGAATTCTACAACTACAAACACAATGATCATCACCAACAACCATGAATGATAAAAGTCCAAAAAAAAACGCCACAAAATACCTGAAGCGAAGGTGACATTAAGCACTAAAAAAGGGGGAAGAAGAGAGACACTAGATTCAGCATTCATCAAAAATATTCAGTCTCAGAAAGTCCCAAAAAAACTCAAATTCTAGAAGCATCCAAATATCAAAAGACAGAACTTTGCCACTGCTTCACTACTAAGTGTATTAAAAGTATATTTCCTTCATTTCTATTCATAGTATGTTTGGGAATCCAAATGAAACAAATAATTTTATTTTTATGACAACGAGCTCAGGCCACATTCAAGATAGTACCTTGGACTTATTGGGGATGTGGGGTGATTATAAAACTTGCACACATTCGCAGTAAGTCAAGAATTGTCTCACTTGTGACCCAATCTCAATTTCCCAACTAGATAGATGAAATGATTCCATTTCATTGCAATGTTCATCTTTGGGTCCCCATTGCAGTTAATACTTCAAGAGATTTTATCAATGGCAGTGCCAAAGATGCCAAGGGAGTCAGTCCCAACAAAGATCTGGGATAGAAACCATATGGGTACTTCTTGCTCCCAAGCTCTCCTGTAAAAATTTTCTTCAATGTTTTTGATATTTGGAAGCCTTTCGTTGAAGTCTAATTTCAGAGGCCATGACCCGATTCAGTACTAGGAGTAACAACTACCAACCGTGATATTATGGGTTCGACTACAAGATCAGCCATTTTGTGCAAAACAACGACAAAAGTTGGGTTCATAACAGTTTGTGAAGTGAGTGAAGACAATGGTAGGATGAATACCTGAACTTAGAAGAGAGAGGCATTGTTTGAGCAATGCGCCAGCGATAACGACGACGGTGGTAGTGCCGTCACCGGCTACAACGTCCTGGGACTTGGAGAGCTCAACGAGGAATTTAGCGGCGGGTTGGAGGACTTCCATCTTATTCAAAATGGTTGCGCCGTCATTGGTGATTATGACCTCGCCAGAAGCCGTGCAGATCATCTTGTCCATACCCTTAGGACCTAAGCTCGTCCGGACAGCACTGGCAACCGATTGCGCCGCCGCTATGTTCGCCATTCGGACGTCGTCTTTCCGCTTGTTGTCCGTGAAGGTCTCGGTCTTCGAAGGGCCTGAGCGTGGGGCTTGGACGACCGCTGGGGCAGCCATTGTTGATCAGATCGCTTAGTTCAGAGTCTTAGAGAGTGGGTTCGTGAGAGAAAAAGTGTGCGTGTGCGGGTAAATGATATAGAAACCCTAGAATAGATAGAAAAGGAGGGAGAGTAAGAGGTGGGCTTGGAGTTTTGGGTAGAGTTCGAGAGTGTTCGCAAAATTACCAGAATGGATATAAGGTAGAGGAGGTGATTGGTTGGGGGATAATTTTATTGCATAAGGATGTTTGTGCTTTTGGTATTAGGGCAACTTTAAAGGGATTGTTATTTTGGGTGTCAAATTACTTATTTATAATTTTGAATAATATTTTGGTATCTTTGAATTATAAATCTGTTTTAATGACAGGTGTTAAAATGAGGTATCATTTTAATATTTCTTATTAAAAAATATAATTAAACTTAACTTCAGTTGCAACTTTTCTCTCTTTTTACTGTAATCTTGCAAAACAAATACATAAATTTTTATGCAATATCTCTCTCTCTCTCAAAGTTTGAAAAATTATCACCCCAAGAGCATTGTTGTCATTTTCAACCCTTGATGTCACTCTCATTGAAGTGAAAAATTTTGAATTTTAGAGTGACATTTTGACAATTATATGCAGTTATGGGATTGTCACTCCCCCTTAGAGTTGCTCTTAAGAAAAAAGGATTGAAAAAAAAATATATGTCTCATCCTATCCTCTTCACTCTCATATTTGAATATTAATAATTGTTCGTACTTGAATGTACTATGTTACTCATAAAACATTATAAATATTTATTTATAAATAAAGACAATGTATAATATAATTTTAACAATATAACGATCATATTGATATTGTTCAAATTATATGCAGAATATATATTATCAAATATTTATATAACGAAAGTCACGATACGACTTTGTAACATATTTATTCAAAAATCTGAGAAAATATAACTATTATTAATCAAACATCCATAATTTTAACATTTTTAATAAACTTTATCTCAAATTTCAAAAAAATATAACTATTTATTTTTCTACAAGTTTTTACCTAAAATTCATAACTTTATCTCTGCATTATTTTTTAAAAGTAAGTTCGTGTAACTTTTGTAAGGAAAACATTCAAAAGTTTCACGAGAATTCTCATAAATGAAAAAAAAAAATTAATGAGAAATTAAAATCAATTTCCATTTGAATTCAACGTAAATATTCATAAAATTCATTCGAATTTAAGTTTAAGTAAAAATTTATACTTTATACTCGACAGTCAAATTCAGCTCAATTTAAGTTTTAATCATAATTACGTCAAATCGAAAATTGAATTTAAATTCGACTCAATTAACATTTCTATTTTAAACCTACAAACTAATTTTTATCTACTCCCCATTCACATTAACACCATAATTTTTTTAATTTAATTATTCTTTATTATTTTTACAATCAATTTCAATTTGACTTCAACTTGAATACTTGCAAAATTCAAGCAGAGTTAAGTTTAAGGAAGAATATATATTTTAGACTCGAAAATCAAATTTAGCTCAATTTAAATCCTAATTATAATCACTTCAAACCAAAAATCAAGTAAAATGAAAAGGATTCTTGTAATTTTTGACCTGAAAAAAAAAATTGGAATAGTTTCGATCATTTGATCAAATAATCTGAGTCGGAAAAAGTTCAAGACAAATAATGCTAACTCCCTTAGTATATAGATATATCATGAATTAAATATATATTATTCACCTATTATACTATTCAAATATTATAGTATTTTTATTTCAATACAAAAGATGACCTATATTATAGTCATTCGAATCGTTTTGATATAAAAAATCTCTATTAAGATCCATTTGTTTATTAAAAATAATCTTTAATTATATAGAATAATAATTAATGACCTAATTAATGTGTAGAATGAGATAGAGAGAGAGAAAGGGGTTATAAGAGAGATAGGAGTTATAGAATTGTGGATAAAATGAAAGTTTTGTTCAAAAAATTGGGGGGGTGATTTTGCATTAGAACCGTCGGATCAATAATTTCTTCAAACTATCTGAGCCGTGAAAAGTTCAAGACAAACAATCTAGCTACTTTATTGTGTAGATATATTTTGAGCCTGATATTATTACCTAAAAATAATTAAGGCCCAGATAAATAATGCATTTGTAGTCACATACACCTTCTTAAATAAACTCACCTATTTGGTGGGTTAAATAGTACGATTGGGGTATGTTTTGGCAAAAAATATTTTTATTCTCAAGAATCTCTAGAATATAATTATCGTAATGGTTATTTAATAATTTAATATTTATACATTCAATACTCCATCCAAACATAGTATTAGATGAGATAAATATGGGGTTCACTACTTCTTAATACTTGAATCAAACATGAGATAAAGAGACATTATCACTATAATTAGTCCAAAGTCTAGATGGATGGATATGATATGGATGAGTTTGTCCAATTCAGTACTTTCTAATACCTAAATCAAACACACCCTGATAGGCATCTTTTGGCAACAATTCGGGGAAGAGGCACGACTTGCAACCCGACCCATTTGTTGTTAGTGAAAACAATGTTATTTTGGGCAAAATGACATCGTTCTATTTAATGGTTAGCTAAAATGGGAGGACTTGTCGTTTGTTCCCACTGCAAATGTAGATTATGAATTACAATATTTGATTACATATTTAAGAAAAAGATGAAATAAGAAAATGTTAATGGAGGCATTCCAAACAGAATAAAAAAAGGGTTTAGCCAATGCAAATATTAACAACTCGTTAGTGCACATAATAAAAAAAATTTGGAAGCCAAAAATGAATGAACTAGGTCAAATAGACATTGGCCAATATATGAATGAAATTGAATCACATTTTGTCTAGAATAGTTTTTGACGCAAATTAAAATGCATAGGATATACTTTCAGTAGACATGTCCTCATATTTTAAAAATATTTCTAAGATTTCTTGGCAATTGAGACTTGTAGCACTTAGATCTCTCCGAGTGACATATGTTATAGAGAGTAATAGTGGTTTAAGCTAAAACATTAATATTTTTCAAAATACCCCTCTATAGTAAGACAAAGATTTCTAAAATAATATTGCTCTAAAAATAGTATTAAAAAGGCAATTCTGCTATCTATCACAAATGTATAGACAATTTTTATTTTTCTCTTGTATCAATACTACTATAAAAAGTATCTTAGCATGAAAAAATTTTAATTTTCTATTTTTTCCCTATAAAATATTATAAAGGTTGTGGGTGCAAAAATTGTCCAAACCTTTACGATAATATATTCAATGCATCGATGATATTATGTCAATATTGATGACATGGTATCATCAACCAATAATAAAACTTCAAATAGGTAAAGTAAACCCCATTTAGATAGTTATGACTTACATGGGAAAAAAGTGGGTAGTTATTGACTTACATAGACAAATAGTTATTGGCTTGTGTGGAGTCCATTTTTCTATTTATTTTTACATTATTGGTTAGTGATACCACGTGACAATATTAACGTGGTATCATTGTTGCAATGAATATTTTTTTAACCTTTACTCCTTTTGGGGAAGGGGAGTCTTTTGAATTACAAATTGATAGAGAGACTAAGACTCCTCTATGAGAAGTCTCGACCCTTCTTCCTTTCGAACGTGAACTGTTAACTCTAACCAGGAGGCCTTTTGATTTTCAAACATTGTATAACCTTATCTTTCGAATTCTCTTTATGAGCCAACAAGGTGGGGCAGAGTTGATTACAAGGATTGAATATGCTCTGAGCTTTCCCCGTTCACTTTGGAGTTTAATAGCTCCTCTAACGGTAACTTTCAAAATAGGCACCCTCTGTAAGAATTTTCTCGATGGTGTATTTAATTTTTTCCACATTAGTTTCCCCTAATTAGGTCTGTCCAACGTGGTTTGATCATGCATCATGTTTTCAGTTACTTTTTGTTTATTATTTTTTTGGGGAAATGGAAACTGCTTAAGTGGGCATATATTGTCAGTTTAAATGAGGCAGCTTCTTGTAATGGTCATTCCCTGGGCTATTTAAGCCTTCCAGATCTCTAGTTCAAGAATTCATCTAGCCTTAAAAAATCCTTCATTGCTCTTAGCGATTTGAATTTCAATCTTTGCTTCATGGTTCTAGATTTTCAACCCTGCCAGATCTCTAGTTCAAGATTTCATCTAGCCTTAAAAAATCCTTCGTTGCTCTTAGCGATTTGAATTTCAATCTTTGCTTCATGGTTCTAGATTTTCAACCCTGGAATTTTTTTGGTGGCTTGTTCCTTTTTAATTTGTCTTTAATAGTTTCTTCTTTCTTTCTTAAAGGTTTTCTTTGAAGAACTTAGGACTTTTCTTGAATCCCTAATCGACTGCTCTTCTTGCGAAGATCTCTAATTCTTGTTTGAATTTCCTTTGACTTTCTCCTTCTTCGTTCTAGTTCTTCATAATTGTCTTTTCCATATGGCTTCTGAGGGAACTTTGTATGATCTTGTACTATAATTACATAAAAAAAATTATATTAGAGTCTTCTTGTGAAGATCTATTATTCTTACTTGAATTTCCTTCGATTCTCTAGTCGACTCTCTCCTCCTTCGTTCTAGTTCTTTATAATTGTCTTTTTCCTATGGCTTCTTTGTAAGACCTCATACTATAATTACATAAGAAGAATATTATATTAAGAGAACTTCTAAAATGATAATAGAAATCTTAAATCGTTGTTGAAAGATTGATCATGAAGTTTAAGTTTCACGCGAATTTACTTTTCGGGTCAAACTTAGTTTCGGATGCATTTAAGCTTGAAAATGGTGGTTAGACAAGCGTCTAATTATTTTCAAGTCAAAATAAGGCTACCATGAGAGGTACAAATAGGATATGTCCTGACCTCTAATTCGTTTGTATCAAACATCTTCTCTTTCATATTGTCTAGTGTTCTCTATTCTCATGTTTTTATAGTATTTTCTTCATTGTTCTTCTTTGTATAATATTATCTAGTGTTCTCTATTCTTGCATGTATTTAGTATTTTTCTTCCTTGTTCACTTCTTATTGTTGTATATACATGTATATAGTGGTGTTAGAGCCAACCTCTACTATGGTTTTTCCTTAATTTCTTTCTATGTTTAATCATCTTCCATTGGTTGGGGCAGTTTCCTGCTTCTTTAATAAGTACAAGTCTACACTAACTATAAACCCC